TTTGTGGTTGACTGCAGAAGGATAGAGCACGCACATAGCTACCTAGCGATACCTAGCTAATTAGCAATAGCATATTTTGTAAAAATGTAGCTTGCTCCTTTTTTAAAAGTTGTTTGGTTTGTTTGTGTGTTTGTTTTTTGTTGCTTTTGAGATTTTTTTTATGAATTTAATTAAGTTATAAATTCATAAAAGGTTAGTTTAATGTTCACAGAAAGAGTTATCCATCCATCCTTTTTCTGCTGCTCACACAGGTCTGGATCCCTCTCCCCAGCCAGCTGAGAGATATAATCTCTCTCCAGCGTGTTCTGGTTCTGTCCCAAGGCTTCCTCTGGGTGGGACATGCTCATAACAGCTCACCCAGGAGGTGCCCCTGACGGCCAGAACGTAGGTCGACCGCTCTTCACCTCAACAGACAGGTACAGCATCCTTATACTTAAACTCCTCCACTTTGGACCTTGTTCTTAGAGTGGCCATTCCACTCTTTTCTGACTGAGAACCATGGCCTCAGACTTGGAGGTGCTAATTCTCATTCCAAGCAACACACTTGGTCAAAAACTACCTCAGTGCGAGTTAGAAGTCCTCACTCGGTGAAGCTGACTAGACCACTTCATCCATGAAGGATTCACCAAATCTGACACCCTCCACAGCTCAGTTCCTACCATAAAAATAGAATCAGTGACAAAGTTCAGCCCCTGTGATGTCCAACACCTCCAACACATTGCAGACTCCTTTTTTGGAAACAGAAAAACAAGTCCATCTTCAAACTGAAATAAGTTAAAAAGCATATTGCCAAAAAAAATAGGTAACTTCTTATTTAATTGTACGTATAAAAATATCCTCTAAACTTGCTTCTGCGAGTATGACAGAGCAAAGTCAAGTTAAAAATGGGAAAATTTTTTACTCAGTGGTTTGGATCAAAGAGAACTAACTGCAGATGTAGTGGAAGCTTTCCTGTCACTCCAGCCGGCTATGAGCCTAAAAGACAAACTCGGGGATGGAACCTCGACTGCGCTTTTCCCGCCTGTTTGAACACAAGGACAGAAGCTGAGCTTCAAACGGAGCCCAAGCTGGAGTGACGCCTCACAGATAACTACCTACAGCTCTGTCATTTTCTCTTTCACAGCCTCTCTTTGCTTGTTTCTACGGCCCGCACGTAGGTTCACTAGCTGAGGCTCTGCTTTCGGATCTGGCACTCTGCAATCAGATGTGACATGCTGAAGGCTCGGATGACAGCTGCGAAGACAAGGTCACACAGTCACCTACTTTTAACGAAGGATACGTACGACTCCTCTTGACAGACTTGTGCAGCGCTTGAAAAACACATTTACGTGCTGCCTGCATACACACTGTACGCCTGCGCGCACCTTCATTCACTCACACACAAACTCGTACACACACTCACAGTCACAACGCGGAGCCGGAGCATTTTGCAGATGGGGGTCTTTTCTCGTGCCTGTGCAATCTCAGAAGCAATTACCTATTAAAATTTCATCCTTCATCCTTCCAGAATGTTTAGGAAAAGATTATAACTACTGGGAAGGTAATTAAGCCAGCAAATGGGGAGCTGCATTGTGAATACTGAGAGATATGTATGTTGTGTTTGTGTGTGAGTGTGTGCTTTATCTTAATAATACCAACAGTGATGCCCACCTAAAGCTCTTGAGTGTGTTATCCCAAATGACAAGAGAAAGAAGTCACAAGGATCGCTGCTGTTTTACGGTAAAACTTCACAACTAACGTCTTCATTAAGTGGAACAGCAAAGGTCGCAACTATGTCAAATGTAGACAACATGGCCAGTAGAAAGCTCTGTCATTCATCAGTGATCTTTGCCTTTGTACGTCTGGATGTTGCCACTGAGATCATTTGACTCGTCGCACGCTCAATCATCCAGGTAAGGAAATCTGTTCATGTAGACAGCAGGATTTCATGTTCAGTAGGAGGAAACACAACATAAAGATGAATAGGTCCCTTTTTATGGTTTTCTCCTCTTTCTTGTCCTTACTTTCCCCTCTTTTTTCCTCATCCCTCCCCTCTTTGTCTCTTTGATGCTACAAGAGGAGCCTTTTAAGGATTCAAACAAAGTCTCCTTTTTTTTTTTTTTTCTTTTTTTTTTTGCGGGGGGATGAAAAAAAAGTCAACAAACCTGCCCATCTGGGTAATTTATAGGTTGGTGGGTTCTGGTTCAAGAAGCAACCTCAATCTCCATTTTTAATATGCAGGATTGGGGGTGGACATAATAAACAGAAACCCCGGACTTGTGTGTTGCTGATTGATTCTGGGTGTTTCACACTTGTGTGGGATATTCCTCAAATAGACTGAACCTTATAAATGATACAGCAGTGGCGGTCATCAATGATTCCTTCACAGACAACTGGCATTCTGGCTGTCACACAGGAAAAAGGAATTTCTCTTCTGTTAAATAAACAAAGGAGACCTGCCAGACCAGGTTCAATCATGCCATTAATAGGGCAATCTGGCCATAAGCTATAATCAATAAGTGCTTTTGCACTAAAATAGATTTTCCAGCACAATCTTTCGCTATATTTGAGCAGACTCGCTTCATGTGCACAGAGTGCATGACAGTCCCTTTAACCTGAGTACTTATCTTTACATTGCAATTACCACTGTCTTCAGTCTTCCTCTTCTTCTTCTCCTTCTTCCCTCCATCTGTCCTTCACATTCACAGTGACACTTGTAATGATAAATCGCCTTGCCCTTTTTCAATCTATTTATCTTCTGTTAATCATTTAAATAAGAATAACACGTTGAGTAAATCCATACCTAATTCACCTCCATTCCTGCAACCCTAATAAATCAACTGCAATGCTTATGGAAGTTTGAGGGAGGGGTCCGTAAACCAATCAGGTGGTTGTCGTGTGTAGGGGGGGGGGGTCCTGGCAGATCGTGGAGGTTAATAACATTCCACATGATTACCCACAAGCCAGAGGATTAGAAGGTTAAGGGGAGCGGGTTCCACATTGCAAATAATAATCGCTATTTCACAGCCGTGTCCTCCTGGCCACTTAGGTGATAGGCCACCCAGCTATCTCTTCTCTCCCACAGTGTGGACAGGGAGAAAAAAAGGACTCCAGTGGACCCTGACACCTACTGAAAGTGTTATTCATCTCTTTTCATGGAAGCCCTTTTAGGACTCCCACCTCCCTCCCCCGAAAAACGACCCTTTTCTTTTTAAATAAAGAAATCAATGCAACCTTTTTTTTTAAAATTCTTTCTCCACACATTTTTCTATGAGATGTGTTCTCATCACGATGTTGATGGCATCTGTGGGTGTAGCGCTTCACGCTGAGTGGGGTTATGTCACCCTGTCGTTGCAGGATTGCGCATTTATCTCATTCTCCCAAACAGATGCAGGCATTCGCACCCCCTGACCGCTGCCTTTGATGCGGACGTCCTGATTCATTAGCAGTCATTTGTAACTGTGACGTGTCACGCGTTTAAAGATGTAAAGAGAAAGGAGTGAATTAGGAATGTATGGATACTGCTGTCTCTGTGTTCAATAATAATCAAGCACCCTTTTATCTTAAACAACTCATAGTACCGCATCACCCCAATAGATCTCCTCTCTCTCAGTGTGCTGGTTTACTTAGAGTATTAGAAAGTAGAACGGGAGGCAGGCCTCTCTTATGTGGGACCAGCTTCCAGAACCCAAACTGGGAGTTGTGGAACCAGCTCCCAGCTTGGGTTCGGGAACTAGACACCCTCTCCACTTTTAAGATTGGACTTGAAACTACTGTCTTTTTTGATAAAGCTTCTAGTTACGGCTGACTCGATTGACTCTGCACCCTCTCTTAGTCCTGCTGCAACAGGTTTAGGCTGCTAGAGGAGGCTCTTTTTTTACTTTTGTAAAAACTTTAGAAATCAAGTGTAAATGTCAAATTTGATGGAATAAATTGTCTTTCTGGACTCACAAAAGTATGGAGATGCACGCAAATGCACAAAAAGGCAAGGCTTCTGGATGTGTGAGGATTTCAGCTTCCAGTCAGTTATAATGCTACAAGGTGCCATTCGCGTATAACTAGATAATAAGAATGAGGCAGAGGGAACTCTGTGTCACTCTGTGTCTCTGTGCTGAATACCAGACTAGATTTGTTACTTTGTTTTGGCATAAAAAGGTGACGCAATTTTTAAGTGAGCCCAAATGCTGTGTGCTGTCCCTGTATGTGTTATATGTCATCTACTGTACTCTCTGCCCTGCATGCATTTATGTACGAATGTGCGGGTTTTGTGCACATTCATCTCTTTGGTCTTCGATGTTCTAAAAGCAAATAAGCTTGATACTGTAGCAGCCCACGGGACACAGAAGAAATAGATGGCATTCATACGCTTTGTATTATACCCTCCCTACACACACACACATATGTAAACAGACAACCACCACCACTACTTCCTCTTACACACACACTCCCACTTGCCTCTTTCTCTCATTATATCATGTGGGCATGAACCAAAATAAAACGGTGAATAACGGCTGAAAAGACAGGGAGGTATTCTCTTTCTAGGCTGTTATGAAATGGATGGATATCTGGCCAGTGTGAGATAAAACAAAAGCCAGTGCTGTCATTTGAAACAAAAACAAAAAAAACACAGAACAAGCCCTGCAGGGATGTGCGTTTTCTCTCGACGTTTATGGTCGTGTCTTTTTCTTTTTTCTTTTTTTAAAAAATGGATTTTCCGACTCTGCACCATCGGCCAGATACGAGGCTGCTTTCAAGGCTGCGACGACTCACTTGATCCCAAACTCTCACATCCTTCCATCACTCCGAATGACTTCGCAGAGGCTCTCTGACACCAACCGGCATCCACTCAATCTCGCTTTAAATAAGCAGCTTTTTTTTTTTAAAAAAAAAAATGCATTTGCTGACACGCATACGCACTCCACCCACGCCTCCATATGCTGCTTTAACTTATACACACAGTTCACAACAACCAATAATGAGCTGTCCAGAACTGCCAGAAGAAAAAAAGAAAAAAAACTCACGGATGTTTGTGGCCCTGGCGACATAGTGCTGCGAATGCATCCCTAGGGCCTCTTCCCCGCGATACTGCTCACCTGGACACCCGCCCTGCAGCACATTGGCGACGACCCTGTCAGACAGAGAGATGGATGAGGCGTGCAGACATGAGGAACTGTGCATGACATGGCTAATTTAATTATTCAGTTCGACTGTACCGGTGCACACTGTCGTTTCAGCTGCACCTCACATTATGAGGTGCAGCTGACCAGAAAAATTAGTTTCCACGATGAGTGGAAAAGATTTCCTTTCAGTTGTTCCCTTTTATTTATTTATTTTTACTGTAATTATTGCACATTCACTCACACCTACTGAATTGCAACACTATGAAGGTGTAAAAACAAGCAAATGATCTCCAGTCAAGAGTGATACACAATGGAGTGCAATGCCACCTTACTCTACTGAAAGACACCCCTCCGCCCCTCACATGAGAGGAGAGCAGCTCATAATGTTACGCTGTGCCACAACAGATGGATAGACTGGAGTGGAAGGAATATGCGGTATCAGTTCCTGTTCATAAAGACTCTTAATAACAGAAGATGCGATACATTGCTCTTGTTGCCCGGAAACCACGTGTGTGAAGTGTAACATGCACAAGTTCATCTATGATGTTTTATGGCACGGATAGGTGTCAAATTAAAGGAAAATTTAGACTGAGTGTGATGCCAAGGCCACCACGTGAAGCCAAAATAGCTTCGATGTTCTTTTTGCATGTTGGCCTTGGCTTGCTCTTCGCTCTCCAAGTCTTTGCTCTAGACCAAAATGAGCTAACCTCTAATTTGTGGACAACATTGGTCTGGCTTCTCGACACTTAGTTAGACTTTTCTATGACTAGATCACAACCTAAGACACATCATTTTGATACTCAGTGACCCAAACCTGTAGAAGAGCACTCTTATCGGGAAGAAAGGGGTTTGTCATAAGACAAAGGTGGTCAACTTTGCAGTAAGTCTTTCCACTAAAGGGAGACAAGGAGACCCCCACCCTAATGAAGAGGTCAAGGGTTTGAGTTTTTTCTTTAATTTAATTTCATAAATTTATGTGTGTTGTGTGTGTGTGGTGGTGGTGGTGGTGGTGGTGGGGTGCTCTGTTAAGACGACAAGCACACGTCCACACGTTGCGCGCTCCAGATCATTGCGCGCGTAGGCTACTACTGCAAGTCTCTTTGTAAACAAGCGCACCGAGAGAATCGGGCAGAGAGGGAGGGAGGGAGGAAGCGGGAGATAGACACACACAGATAGAAGAGAGAGAGAGAGAGAGAAACCAAGAAAGAAAGAGACCCACCTATACATATTCTCTCTCTGGGGTCGGTGCGCCTTTTCCAGCCCCAGCTTGGTGAAAATCCCCACAAGAGCCATAATCGCCACTACTCCACAAATGACGTAAACTATTAAGTTCGTCTTGTCTTTGGTGCTGTCGTGAGGCTTGTTCGTTTTCTTGTAGGGTGTCTGCCCGCTCTTCATCCACATCGGGGTGTCATAATTTGTACAGGTTTCCTGGTCGAGCCGCGACTCCTTGATGGAGCAGCAGAAGCGGAAGCCACAGGTACCGCAGCAGTACAAATACACGCCCGTTTTGCAGATGAACGGCGGGTCATACTGGCCCATCACGTCGTAGTAACCCCGACACCTTTCCTCCGTGTGCGGGGTCTGCTCGGACACGCTCTCCTCCGGCGTGGAGCCGTTCGAGGTGGCGATCATTACGAATCCCCCGAGCGCTCCTGGAATCCCGCCAGCCTTGCACACGAGGGCCATAAGTTTGAGCAACAAGAAGCAGGGGAGAAAGTGTTTCCCTCTCATTGTGCTCTCTCCTCCGTTCAACTTCGCGCGGAAACGAAAAGACCTGAAGAGAGGGGACAGGGCGCACGGTCATGATATGCCGAAAAGTCCAGAAATATCCGCGCTGATGAACATCTTTGCTCGCGTATCTTTATCCACAAACAAACGCGCGGAATAAAAAGAACAAACAAAACAAAAAACCCTATGTGGATTAAACTTGACTTAACTGAACTCCTCTCCAGCGAGTGCGCATTTAGACGCCTTTCCCAAAAGGTTTTTGTCTTTTTTATCAGGCTCAGATTTTGCGTTTTCGGGAGTGCATCACTTCACTCCTCTGTCTGTGCGCACTTACGCACGGGAGTAGGCAGAGACACAAGCCGCACCGAGGATGAGAGCGCAGTGAGCGAATAGAAGAGCCGAGGGTGGGAGAGCCTGGTGCACACACACACACACACACACAAACGGAGAGGAGGAGGAAAACAGGGGGAGGGAGGGAGATTGCAAGGGCTGACTCCGAGGGAGAGAGAGAGAGAGCCTTTATTGTGAAATATTATGATAAAAGCGTCTATGCACATCACTATTACGCTCTGCGAGGAAAGTCGTGGGAGCCCCATTTTTTTTTAATACTTCCAGTCGTAGGTTGCCATTGTTGGAGAAATCCTGAAATCACAAGTAGCTTAATGTGTTACAATAGGCAGCGGCTGGCAGAGCTTCTAAGAACAGGTGATACATTTTGAAACAACAAAAACAAAAAACCACACAACACCTATAGATCCCAGGGGACATCTATAGGAGACAGCAATCTGGCCCATCAAGACCATAACCAAGAGACACAACCCCGTAACGAGTGATATTCCACCACAGGCAAATGTCTCACTCTTGTGGTTTTTGCCAAAGGTGCTCGGAACAGAAAAATATAAAATGAAATTTTTTTAAAAAGAAAAATGTACGTATCTGTCTGCCTCGGAGCACAATCCTCACAATTTGTATCAATAAACCAGGCGAAGCAAGAGAAATCTGAGAATTTGTTTCGGGAAAAGGGAAAATTCAATAATTTACCAAAAAATAGAGACACCCCCCCCCCCCCCCCCCTCCAAAAAAAAAAAACAACCAACCAAACAAACAAACAAAAAACAACACAAAACAAAAATAAAGTTATGAATGTTTTGGCTTGTAGGGATATTAATCCACCCGGACTCTTGTAGAGTGAGTTTCCCAGTCTTTTCTTTGTGGCGCTCAAAGCGCAACACAAAGTAATTTTCTTCTATCTATCTATCTATCTATCTATCTATCTATCTATCTATCTATCTATCTATCTATCTATCTATCTATCTATCTATCTATCTATCTATCTATCCTTTATATATTATTTTAAACATATGTTCTCATTTAGATGTGTATGGACCCGACCGGACAGGGCAGGGCAGGAGGAGAACATGGCATCAGTGGATGCAAATGTAGTGTTTGCTTTGCTTGGATTCGTGGATCATGTGTGTGGGGCTGTGGGATCATTTTGGGAAGTTTTTTGTTTATGTCTATGTGCAGAAGATACTGCTGTTAGATGAAGGTTTGGGGGTTTAAGTTTGATTGGGGAAGGTGGCTGAATAATGAGTTAGATACTCCAATATATTTGAATGAATGAATGAATGAATATGACTAATTAATGGATGAACGAATTATTAACTTTACCAATTACTGACATAGGAGATGGATAAAGCCGATACCCAGACATGAAAATAAAAAATATCCATCCATTACTTGTTTCCTACTAGATTATGTAAATTCTTCAAATGCAATTCTTTTTCATCTCAAACAGATGCTGTTTCAAGTGAAAACTGCCTTCATTAAAGGTTAGGTGCAATGAAAAATCATAAAAATCGAATATATTTCCACATGCAAGCCCCTCTGTCACCTCTGATGATTCATTCTCTGGTTAAAAAACCGATTTCTAAAGGACCTTCGATGTATTCAAACTGTCTGGCAAGCAAGAAAAAAAACCTTTGATTTGCCCTTATTCAGCTAGTGTTAAAGTATGCAGACAATCAGCGCGGTGAGGAGGACGGGTGGACGTGGCTCTCTCCGTGGTTCTGAAAGACTCTATCCTCTGTCCAAGGTTCTTCTTTCGTGTGGTTTCTTATTTTGCCATTCTCACACACAGCTAAAACACGTAATGGTGTGGACGATGCAGATGTTTGCTTTGTAAAGGTTTATCGGAAGAAGATGCGAATGTTTGATGACTTGATCGATTTTTCCCCCTTTTGTTTTCTGATTTATAAACGATGAGTTGTGGCTAAAACGATAGCATAATTCTCTTTCTTGTCGTTGAAACTAGTTAAACAGTAAGCATGAAGGTTGTATCTGGTTTAAAAGTTTGCGGGAAAACCTGTTAAACTGACTTTTTTTTCGCTTGTACTTGCCTTAACTGGTAGTCACACTGGGGGCCGCTGCAGTGACGATCACATACACACTCACAAAAAGGCTGTTTAGTCGATCGCCGAGAGTCTCGGGTTTAGCTAGCCGCAGGAACAGCTGAGGAGAAGCATAACAGCTACATAACCATCCCACTCGGACCTGCCGGTTTGCTCTGGAGACGGTTTAACCAAGCGGATGTTATGGCTGAGAGTGAGAATATCTTTCTCAAGGCAAAACACCGGACATTCAGCGGACTCACTGAAGGTAACTGACTGCCTTTAGCTTCTTTAGCTCTGCCGGCTAGCCAACTTCTGTGAGCTAACTTGGCAGCACCGGTGACACAGGTTGTTGGTGGCGACAGGTTAATATTCTGACAGAGGGAAAGCTGTCACTTAGGTTTGCGTAGCTTTCTTTTAACCAACAAGCTGACACTGTCAACCACAGGAAGACAGAGTGCCTAGCTAGCTAGCTAGCTCGTGTTTACAAAATTAAAAGTAGGGAGCGTGGCAATCTTGTTCTTGCAAAGAATCAAATCGGGGCAATCCATAAACACAGGGGTTGCGGCTATTTCGATTTGCATTTGTTTCTAACTCTGGTGCAGAAGAGCTACAGAGCTGAGTATTCATTCATGCACAACTTACAAATAAAACCCATGCTTGACTTCGGCTGCAGTCTCTAATTTGTCATTCATTTATAGCTAAATCAAGCCCTGTCCTGGAAGGTTTAGGCAGACTTCTTTCAGTCGAAAGTGTTTTCTGTGCCTCGGAAGAAACTGAGGGGTGTATTAGATTTAGATGGTTTACTCTTAAGTGGCAAAGTAGTCCTGCCGTTAAGATATTCAAATATTGAAAACATGATCACAGCGCCCACAGCTATGTGTTTATGAGCTGCTGCCCCTCCTGTTTGTTTTACTTTATTTAGCACCCCCTGCTGGAAGCAGGCTAGTATGAGGAAACTGGGGGACAAAAATTGAGATCTTCAGTATTTTATTATTTGCAGCCCATTCACTTTAATCTGAAATGGTCATAAGTTTTGTTATGTGGAGTCCACGCAGTGGCCGAAATCAGCGCGATTGGTGTTTGACTTTGCAAGAAGGCTGCTGCTTATCTCTGGGTGTGAGAGCACTGCCAGTTTCTTTTCTTTTAAAATATGCCATTCAAATAGACACATACCTGGCTTCACAGAGTAAAAACATTTTCACTATAAAGTGTCCTGAATCTAATAAAAAGGTTTATTTATTTATTTTAATGAGGTCAGTTAAATCTTTTGTATCTGTTAGTTATTCAGTACTCAGGGGCAGGACCAGCATTTTAAGGGACATATGTTTGCATATTGAACTTGCCTTTTTCCTTTGCCAAGAATATCCCATCCAAAGTTGATATTTTCAGGAAGCAAAATTCACATCAAAGCATATTTAAAGCTGGTGCAAAATTAAAAACTTTTCTGTCAAACAATGAGTTAAAAGATGTGAAAGTTTTTGGTTTTAGGAGGTTAGTTCACAGCTATAAAAGTGTACCTGAAGCATTTCAGTGGGTGGCTCCACGGTGTACTGGTTAACACATTCACCTTGCATGCAGAAGATCCCCAGTCTGACACCAGGAGGAATTGCAAACACAGTCTGAGAGGGTGGTGCAGGATAAATGGGAGGGTTTTGTCAGGAAGGGCATCCTGTGTAAAACAAATCTGTGCCAAGTCATGCAGATCTATTCACTGTGGTGACCCCTTGGGAAATGAGGTAGCGGGTAGAAGTACCAACAACTGAAACATTTCAGTGCCGGTGTCAATATTGACATTTCTGTCAAACTTATTTAAACATGGTAACCTAGCAATGCACTCTAATCCGGATTGGCTGGCACACCTTCTCCATACACTGGTCTTAAGTGGAATTTAGTGAAAGTACTTTCATTTTGCATATGCAAATATAAAATCATCATCAATAGGGGGCTTCCACATTTTACTAACCTTCTACTTAGTGGTTTTATTTATTTAGAGATGTTAGATCACTCTATTGATACCTGAGAGGAAGAGAGAGCCAGAGTGAGTGAGCTCTGACTTTGGGCATTACAGGGGCTGGATCTAATGGCACAATTTAATTCCAAACCGTGGTCCTTCACCACACTAAATATCCCCTTTAGATTTAGTATGGGGGAGATTCAGGAGAGGAAAAATCATTAGAAAGTATGTGCTGTTTTATGTCACTCTCCATTTTTCTGTGGCCCCTGAGTACCCCCGGCCTCACACATCCACAGCTCCTCTCCCTGCTCTTGCAAACTTTTGAGGATTTTTCAAAACTGTGCAATGGGTGGTGTTTGGCTCAGAGCTGGGGGTCAAGTTACACTTTAAAATGCAGCTTTAGTCTTTATCCTCTCAAGAAGTAAAAATGCTGACAGACTGTCACAGCCCGCTAAGATAAAATTAGGCTTTTTCCACCAAACTTAAGGAGGATTTTTATGCTCATTTCCATATTTTTATTTGTGAACTGTTTGCATGAGTCACAGTTCGAAATGATGCTTATTTATCAAACAGTGGCAGCCCCTCACTGCTCTCTGTCTGAAACAAGCCTTAGCTCCCTTCCCCCAGCTTTTAAGCAATGGTACTATGCAAAAGTCTTGAGACACACACATTTCTTTATCTTTATGCAAGGAACATCTGCAAACATCCATGGGAAAATGGTATATAAGGAAAACAGTTTGTACAATTCTAACAAGCTTAAAAGTCCATATTTGGCACTGTGTTTGAGATCATCCTCATGCTCAAAAATGAAGCTGTTGGAAGTCTGACACTTTCCAGATGGTATTGCATGGTGGATTGAAATCTGATGGTGCTTTTCTGCACTCATAATTCATCAGTTTTGACAAGAAACAAACACCTCTGGCTGAAATGCATTCCCAAACCATGATGCTCACTGCTTTATGTCTCTCCCTACCAACTCTGTACATGTTGATGGTGATTTGAACCAAACTTGGATT